GATTATACAATTTTACAAACAAGTATTTGTTTCTTATTGCCATTATGGTTGTACTATAATTTAGTCTTTGTTTGAATTTAAACACTCTCTTTTGAACTATAATATTCCTATTACAGCCAATACTCCTATTACTGTTAGTTCTCTTATTACGGTTAGTCTTCTATAACAATTAATCCGTGAATTTGAGAGAAAAAAGATCATCAGGAGAAAATTACACTTCAAGAGGATGTGACATGGGAATAAAACCAGAATTGTCTTACACCAGTGGTCCCCAACCTTTTTGTACCTAAGAGCAAATTCCAGAATATCGGTCGAATGGCGGGCACCATTTATTTTTTCAAGATAAATTTATAGTTGGTAGACATAGGTAATAATACACACTACATATAGTGCACAAAAAATTAAATTTTGAAAATTAATTTAACATATGAATGCAATTAATATTTTTGTGTAAAATAAATGATTACTAAATTGCTTTTAAAACATACGAAGTATAAAAATTATTTATAAAATACAGTGGCATATGTGGTGTTTGGCATGGCATTTCGCTGACCAGCGCTACATAATTGGGAGAATATGATGCTATTTTTAAGAATGGAATTTAGTCCTTCAAATATGTTCCAGAATTTCTCATGTGATATAATAGTTTTGAGGATAATGTCATCCAATGGAGATCCAAAATTTCTATATCCAATTCTTCTCGCTTTACTTGAAGAAATTCTGAAATGTATGTTGCTATTACGGTTACGTATATTTGGTTGGTAAGATGATTAACAAAAAAGTTATCGAAGGCTCGATGATATTAAATTGCTGCTATTAAATTGATCTTTAAGCAATTGGAGGTTGATGACAAATGTCAATTTCACTGTCACCAATCAATTTTTTCATGTTTGGAAAATGCACAAGAGACTTCATTTTCAAATGTGATATCCACAAAACTAGCTTAGCTCTGAACGAGTTAACAGCCTCTATCATTTTTGCTTTATGTTTGTCCTTTCCCTGCAGCTCCAAGTTTAAATAATTTAGTTCTTTCCTTACGTCCGTTATGAAAGACAAATCTGCTAGCCAAAGAGGATCTCTTAGTTCTAAAAATGTATGATTTTTGGTTGCAAGATAATTTTTTATTTCTCCAATTATATGTAGAAATCTATTCAAGCACTTTACCTTCAGTGAGCCAGCGTACTTCAGTATGTATTTGCATAGCATTTATTGGGAAAATGGAAAACTGAAATATTTTATAGTTGAGCAGCGGGCGCACCTAGATCGATCGACGGGCGCCATGGTGCCCGCGGGCATAGGGTTGGGGACCCCTGTCTTACACTATTTACAGAAAAATTATCTAACACAAAATATGATAATCATGATAATACATTACATTTATGAAGTTACGGAATACGAATAACTGTTTTTTTGAAATATCAATTTACTTTTATTAGTTTTTTTTCTTCGTCCACAATATCATATTATTTATTATACTTTCAGAACTTATCTTTCTATTTTATCTTTATTTTCCCACTATTTCAGAAATTAGAATTACTTATGATTTCTTAATTTTTTTTCTTCCCAAATTAAAATAATAGTAAAGAAATAGTCAATAATAACAAGATTTATAAGAATCTCGCCACAGATCTGTAATAATAAAATGCTTACAGAATTTTAAAAGTACAGACAAAAAATAACATAATTGTAATTTTTATGTTAATATTGAAAACAAATGTTTGTTATAAATACATCTGCCAGTCTCAATCAAATAAAAAAAAATTATGTTATTATTCATCAAAAATAAAATTTATAACTTACATGTTGCAAACTGTCATTCGACTTAACAAATATGCTTGTAAAACACAATAATGCTGCAAAATTAATATTTATTTGTTTCTTTCTTTTTTTGAAAGCAAAAATAAAATTAAATTTTTCCATTAGAATTTTCATAAATGTTTCTTAGTATTTAATTTATTAGACAAAATTATAATGCTGAGTTATTAAGAATAAATATAAGAAAGATCATAACAGTATTTAAATTACAATAGTATAGTAAAATTATGATATTCATAATAATTATGACATAGCATTATCATCGAAAATCTTATATTCTAAACGAATTACAATTTTAAAAAAACTTCTAATTTTAAAAAAGTTATGCCTCTCATGTGGTTTCGCGTGTAGTAAAAACTACCCGGGCAGCGCATAGACAGCGCCATCTGTAGTTATATTCTGGAACTTTTAAGCTTAATGCTTTTGGAATTATATGTAAATAGAAATGAATTTATTTATATATTAATTTAGTTATTTTTAAGTGTGTTTGAGAGCTTTAACTCAAAGCTTTCATGATAAGCAATGCATGTCTATGGGTCTTTCTTTCAATTAATTATTCGTTAATTTGCATAGTTGAAATAATAAGATCAATAGCTGGATAAATAAAAAAGGGTGAATTTAAATAAAACTAAATAAGAAATATCACAAAATAATAATAATAATTTTACCTGCAAAAAGTTTTCTAAATATTTTTTCACTGTATTAAATTAAATAGAACTCTATTGCTTCATTGAAATTACTTACTAATTTAGTAATGTTGTTGTTTATACAATTTTACTTATTTAAAGTTAAACTAATTCGCTTTGTGTTCTTTAGTTAAGATATGTATGTTCGACACTTAAGAAACTATTCACGTAATGGATGTATGGCTATTCACTCCTCTGTTACTCATCTGAATTTGTTGGGGGGGGGGGGAAATATTGTATGCTTATTTAGAGAGTTTTTGTGTCTGTTTTCGTAACTTACAATATCGTCTGCACTTATTAATTGGCATATTTGTGTTTACCCCCTCGAACCACTAAGATTAAGGGCTAGAACGTGAAAATCCGACCATTAGATCTAAAGTTATTCAAAGTGGTCTGACTTTTTTTTTTTTTTTTGCATTGTAGTTACCATGGAACACTAGGGGAAAGAAAGAGACAATTCACATAGTGTACATGCGGTTCCTAATATTCGACCATCAATATTATTCTGAATTGAATTTGGAGATAAAAACAAACCGAGCTCTATATAAAAAAATAAAAAAATAAAAATAAAAATAAACTCGTCATCAGGGGTGAAACATGTATGCAACAATAAGTTACAACAAGGAAAATTATCAATTATGCATCGAGAAGTTATCAATTATACATAGATAACTTCTCGTTATCGATTAAACATTCTCGAACTAGCAAATTGGATTACAACACTTAGCTTTTATGCTGTCTAGGAGTTAAGTTTAACATCCAAAACTGGAATGCAAAAGTTTTCGATATTTTAACATACACAAAATTCTGCCTTCACTTTTAGTGATTGGTATATTTTCAATAATCAGTGAAAACATACGTCCCGTTTTTCAGAGCTCTCTCTTTTAACATGGTAAGAATGCCACGTAATTTTGACTCTGGCCAGACGACGTATACAGCGACTGAACTTGTACCTCTCTTTCTTAACTTCCACCCCACAACCAATAATAGAACTTTTAGTCACGACACATTTAGCATGTACCTTTCTGTGTATATATTTCATTTTACAACCGTCGTTGAACAACAGACCCACTTTTGTGTTTACGACTACTAAGGCTCATCTACGCAGCTTTGTAACTTTGAACCCAATCCAGAAGACAAGGCAACTCCTGAATCAAGTATTGGGAGAAATTTACCTTCGTGGAGAACTGGAACTGACCCACATTTGCGTTACATGGAGAGGAAAACCACGTAGACCTCCCACGGTTAACCTGACCACATGGGGGCTCTAACTCGTGATCTGTCTAAGGATATTTTTGGTCAGCACTGTAGCCGGTTCGAGCCGGGAGCGGAATTCATATAGACCATCCCTCACAAGGATTCAAACCCTCTTCACCTAATCGGAAAATGAACGCTCTACCACTGAGCCATCACAGCTCTTTCTGTGTATATACGACTTTTCTCTAGTTTGCTTCCAGGATCAAACTGAATACCTCTAGTTGAATGATACCTTAACAGACCCCACCATCGGAGCTAATCAGTTAAACCATTGCAATGACGAAGTTTAAATAGGGAAACTTATCCATAATAAATTTTTAGTATAATACATATTTTTAAAAAAAAAAAAATATGTATAAATATTAAATGCTAAGTACTATAATTTGAGATAAGGAAAATTAAAAGATTAGAATGGAAAACATTTCAGTTTAAGCAACGGACTTTTTAATAACGCACTGTAAGTTTTAGTGAATGCATAATAATAACTAAAACCATTTTTCTAGTTATAAGAGAAAACTATACGTTGCATTGTCAACCCTTTCTAAGAATCACTAATCAAATAAGTTTTTCTTAGTTTTATTAACTTCGTAACATATTGCTTAAGTTTAACTGCTGGCATGTCAATCCGAAGTGATCGAGACTAGAAACATCTTCAGTGAATTAAACGTCGTAAATGTCGCAGATGATGGGCTCACCTGCTGCACCAAAATACAAATGATCGGCACCTGATCGATATCATCGACACCCGTCCCAGCCTCTCCTGCTCTATTGTCTCANCATTTATTGGGAAAATGGAAAACTGAAATATTTTATAGTTGAGCAGCGGGCGCACCTAGATCGATCGACGGGCGCCATGGTGCCCGCGGGCATAGGGTTGGGGACCCCTGAGTTAAACCATTGCAATGACGAAGTTTAAATAGGGAAACTTATCCATAATAAATTTTTAGTATAATGCATATTTTAAACAAAAAAAAATATGTATAAATATTAAATGCTAAGTACTATAATTTGAGATAAAGAAAATTAAAAGATTAGAATGGAAAACATTTCAGTTTAAGCAACGTCCTTTTTAATAACGCAATGTAAGTTTTAGTGAATGCATAATGATAACTAAAACCATTTTTCTAGTTATAAGAGAAAACTATACGTTGCATTGTCAACCCTTTCTAAGAATCACTAATCAAATAAGTTTTTCTTAGTTTTATTAACTTCGTAACATATTGCTTAAGTTTAACTGCTGGCATGTCAATCCGAAGTGATCGAGACTAGAAACATCTTCAGTGAATTAAACGTCGTAAATGTCGCAGATGATGGGCTCACCTGCTGCACCAAAATACAAATGATCGGCACCTGATCGATATCATCGACACCCGTCCCAGCCTCTCCTGCTCTATTGTCTCACCTGGCTTCTGAAGACATGTTGGCGGTTAATGGAAGAAGGCACCTGCCGAAAATGAGAGCACATAGATAGAACATCAAGCAATCCAACAAACTTATAGAAATCGGCACCTGGTGAAGTGAGTTAGCGAACTTACTTTTTTTTTATTGTTTACTTAATGAACAACACTTCTATGAGTCCTTTAAGGATTTTTTATCTTCTGAAAACTGGTTGAACTCTTTTGTTTATTTTCACAATTCATAATAGCTGTAATAATTATTAAATACATTGTTACGCAAAAAGATTCATTTTTAAAAATCTTTCGCCTTCATTTTTATTATAATTAGTTGAGAAGGGAGTGAATATAATTTTATTTTATATTATTACTTTTATTGAGCTGTTAAACTTTATAAATGATGTGAAAGACTAAATATTCAACCATCAATTCTCTTCAAGCCTGATTCAGAAGACAAGAGGAATTTTGGGCTAATCTTGTGACAAACTCACCTTGCGAAGGACTTTGTAGTTAAACAAATTAAACTTCTCCTTCTCCCCCCCCCCTCTTTTCTTCTCATTGCGCATTTTCAATCATTTTTGTTAAAAGAAGAATAATTAGGAGAATAATAAGAATAATACAAAAAAGAAGAATAACGAAGAAGAATACAAAACATATTTTGAAAAAGATTTAATTAAAATATTTGAAGGATCTGGGTTTGATCCCCATGGCTGCTTGAAACCCACTTAGTTTCAGATCGATGAATACCAACTAGTCTAGAGAGTAAAGGCGGCCGTTGCGGGTGCGGTCACAGTGTCCGCACCTTACCTTTAGTCACGAAATTGTGGAGTCTTCACCTCCAAGGCCCCTTCCCGTGGTGACAACCGGCTGTTGCGGATGTGCTTTACTTTTTACTCATCAATTACGAAAATTTTACCCAAGAAACATTTTTCACCTTAATAGCGTTGAAATAAAATATTTTTTTTATGTCTATAATGGTTCATTTTTATAGGCGAGCGAAACTTTCAAAGCAAAATGCGAAGTTATAGTTTCGTTAATTGCTTAAGCTTAACGAAATATTAAAAGCGCCTTTACTTTAATTCAAGAACAAGGTTGGTAGGGCACTAGGCCCATGTTCAAAAAGTCGTAGGTTCAATCCCCGATGGAATAAGACTCCTCGTGTAGTAAATGGCGACTGATGCACGTTAAATCTGTCGAGTTACAAAGTACTCCATGCCCCCATAACAAATCAAAACCTCTGGGGGTATTGATCCAGGAGTTTCCTTGTCTTCTGGATTGGTTCAAAATAACAAGGCTACGGAGTTGAACATCAGTAGTCGCAAACCCAAAATTGGGTCCGATGTTCAACGACGGTTATAAAATAAAATAAAATGATTGAACAAGTAAAAATTTGCTTGTTTTTCTTTAAAATGCATTGGGAAAAAATCCGAGATTTACCCCCTTATCGTATACAGCGCCCTCTCTGATTATAAACTAACTTCTTGTTAGATAATTATTTTAGTTTTGTGGTCTCTCTGCCTTGAACCATAAAGTGTTACGCTGATTAGAAAATGCTGGAGATTTTTTTATATTGTGGCGCGGCTGTTTACAAAATACCAGCTTATTCGATTAACTTTCAACTTATATAAGTAATTATTTAAACGAAACCTCTTTCTATACAAAAAGAAGCTTAGTTTACTACAGCTCACAGTCAGAACTCAAACTGTTGATTGTTAAAAGAATTTATGCAGTATTTAACCAAGGCAAGGAAACATAAAAACATTAATTCATAATAGCGGTAATGTTTAATTTGTTGATTGCAAACATCAATTGGGGATTATGAACTATAAAACCTCCTGAAGTAAATTTTGTTGTCATTTCAGTGCTTCAAAATCTTATCCCAATTCACAATTTTATCCACATTGTAAAAATGTTTCTTTTTAGAACAAGTAATACTTATTAATATCCCAGAAACCAACTAATAACCTAAACAAGAAATTTTCTGTAAGCGATATTAAAGCGAAAGAGTTACAGAAATATTGCTACTATAAAAACGGTGATCGAGTGAAATTATTTGCCATTTTTATAAGTCAGAAATACTGTTGTATTTCAATCTTAAATGGAAAGTTCAGTGTGATGATTATTTGCGTATTTCTAAAGCTTTAATCTCTCGAATCTTTGATAACGTATGATCAGAAAGATATTATTATTATTATTTGGTCTTTTCAACATTCAATGCTGGTGGCTTTGTGTAATTTATGAATAAAGATTTCATTAGGTATTTATTGGGTTTAAAATAAATACAGTTTGAATAAACGAATTTGTTTTACAATTCTCTTTTGAATGAAATATTTGCTCGAACAGGCATTGTGCTTACATTAAGAATCAGCTTTTGATGTAGAAATTGCATTATAATAGGATAAAGAAAACCTCTTTAACAACCTTGAAATCATTTGTTGAAACTAGTATTTAAAGGAAATAGTTCACACTATTTTATTTATTCGTTTCCTCCGTGATTTATTTTTTTCTAATTGGGGCGTTGTTGCTTTTGATCTGTTTATATCTGCGTATTCAATAAGATAAAAAAACAAAAATGAGATTTTAAGATCGTAAAAATATGATAGTATTTTAAATGAAGGCCTGGTTTTTATCATTTTAGTTATTGCATTATCATCAGTTATTGCGTTATCAATAGATTAATAGACTCCCAAAATGAAACACATAACGGAAGATTTATTGAGCGGAAAATAAAATTACATATGATTGTTATGCATTTCTGTAAAACATGTTTTATGAAAGAAATCTATGCATTCACTGTTGTTCATAATATTTTGCATGAAAGAGAGAAATTATAATCCTTCATTAACGCAGCGCAAATCCCGAAAATTAAAATTATAATTGCATATTTTCATTAGTATAAAAATATTCTAAAAGTTTTATTATTGCTAATCAAAATCCTTATCAATTATAAAACAGTTTAGTGCCAAGTTCTTAATAATTGAAATGAAAAATAATTAATTAATTAATTAAATTAGAATACGTTGAAAAAATTATGAATTTTTACATTCTTTCACTTAAACGATCGAGATTGATTTAATACAAATTTTAAAAAAAATTCATAAATCCATACTGACAGTTACAGCAATGTCACTAGATCGTTTTAGTTATTGCATTATCATCAGTTATTGCATTATCAGTAGATTAATAGACTCCCAAAATGAAAGACATAACGGAAGATTTATTGAGCGGAAAATAAAATTACATATGATTGTAATACATTTCTGTAAAACATGTTTTATGAAAGAAATCTATGCATTCACTGTTGTTCATAATATTTTGCATGAAAGAGAGAAATTATAATCCTTCCTTTAAGCCACGCAAATCCGGAAAATTAAAATTATAATTGTCTATTTTCATTAGTATAAAAATATTCTATAAGTTTTATTATTGCCAATCAAAATTCTTATCAATTCTGAAACAGTTTAGCGCGAAGTTCTTAAAAATTGAAATAAAAAATAATTAATTAATTAATTAAATTCGAATACGTTGAAAAAAATATGAATTTTTACATTCTTTCACTTAAACGATCGAGATTGATTTAATACAAATTTTTAAAAAAATTCATAAATCCATACTGACAGTTATACCATTGTCAGTAGATCATTTTAGTTATTGCATTATCATCAGTTATTGCATTTTCAGTAGATTAATAGACTCCCAAAATGAAAGACATAACGGAAGATTTATTGAGCGGAAAATAAAATTACATATGATTGTAATACATTTCTGTAAAACATGTTTTATGAAAGAAATCTATGTATTCACTGTTGTTCACAATATTTTGCACGAAAGAGAGAAATTACATTCCTTTCTTTCCGCACCGCAAATCCGGAAAATCGGCCAACTCTTATAAATGGTTACAATGGTCGAGCGCGTGGCTGCCCAATTTATAATCCATTGTATTCTCCAGTAAGCCATTCTTTAGGCACGTGGAGAATTGTTACACTTTTAAAAAAATCTGTAAGAATGAAACATATTTCCACAATAACTGACCACGTTCCATTTTTAACTTATCCTTTGATGAAATAATCATGAAATCATATTGAAAAAAGGATATATATCATTACGGGATCTATTCAGTTTTACATTGGCTTTAATTTTAAGTGGAATACATTCTGCGTGGTTCTAATTTAATTTGCTTTTATTATTCTGAAATGAAGTCTGGATTTATTTAAAATGCTCTGGCTTCCTGTATATTGTTATTTTTATCTCTTCGGTTGCAGTTTCAAAGAGTATTGCCGTTTTGGTTAGGAAGGAAAATAAACAGAAATTTATGCTTTAAAAAGTGAAGTTACCGTTGTTTTGTAACTATTATATTAAAAAAAATATTTAGATATTATTTTAGAGATTTAACATTTTAATACTTTGTCGATTAAAATGGAAGAAAATAAGAACAAATTCTAAATAGGGAAATATCTAAGCGACTTTAAAATTAATAACCGGTTTTTATGAAGGAAATTGTCAGCTTCCTCAACCAACATCAAAAACAAAATGCATTATCAATCAAAAACAATCCAATATAAAGTCAAAAATAAATCTTATTTTAAACGTGAGAATATATTTGAAGAAACACACCTGAACCAAATATGTAACTCGATATAAAGCAGTGATTATTATCTTGTTATCTTATTTAGATATCAAACTTCAATAAACTCAGACGTTCCATTTCGATAACATTTTTTTTTCAAAGGATAAAAGGCCTCTCCAAGGGATAAGAGATTTTTCAAAAGCTTCTCTGATATTTTAAAACTAATACTACTAAATAATATATAAATATATATTTAAAATAAATATTGATTTCTGTTAAAAAGGAATTTGATTTCGCTTAATATGTTATTAATGCCCAAAAAGTGGCTTTTCTGTTAGATGACTTAGTTAAAATTTATTTGTTTATAAATAATTAAACAAACTTAAGGTGTTTTTCTATATACTCTGAAATCAGAGTATATAGAAAAACAGAGTATATAGAAAAAAATAGTATATAGAAAAACTACTTTAAAATTGAGCCAGAGGAGAAAAAAAACTAAATTAACAACCCAAATTTAGATATATGCAACCATTAATTTAATTTAGAGGAATAAAAA